CAGTTTCTTACAGCTTTTATCAAAAGTTACTCACAATAAAAATCAAGAATTTTCATTATAAAATATAAGTTCTTGCTAGTGAAAAATATAGGATGATTTTATGGCATGACACGATTACTTCAAAAGTTTGATTGAGTTCGAATTTGCAATCTTCCAGTAAGTTGTGCTTTTTTAAAAGATGTTAAATGCCTTCCACTTAGCAATTGAGTTTGATTTCGAAGAAAACTACAAAGACAATCAAAACTGAGCTTGATCAATTTTTCCTAGAAAAAAAACTGCACGATTTGAATAAGGGCCTTCATTTTGTCTATTGACGACTCAAATAACTGAGTTTTCTTCGTTCATAATCAGTTAAAACTCACGCAGGTCCAATAGTTTTTAGGGTAAACTAAGTCATTCGACACTTGCCGTTAACGGTACTGTTATCACAAAAAATTGTTGGCCTAAGTTATTTTTACATACCTTTTTTTGAAATATAATGTACCTGCAATCCAGTGAATTGATAAATTTTGAAGAGTTTCCTGGTTTGGATAGACTGCTCAGCTCGGAACTACCTGATCAATCATTCAAAAAATGAACAACTCCGCAGGAAACGATCAAACAGTGATCAAGTATAACACTGACAGAATCAAGTTGAAAAGAAGTCAGCTAATACAGTTTATCAGAAGTCTATTCTGAAAGACAAAATGTGGGTTGCAGCTTCTTTTCAGTAGTAGTATTATACTTTTTCGGTAAAATGTATACCAATCAAAGAGTAATAACAAAATAAAATCAATGTAGCAGTCTGATTTGGGCATAAGAATTTAAAAAATTCAAATAAAGAGAAAGAGCAGTTAGAAAATGGTGAACAAGTTCAAGGTAACAACAATTTACCCCTTTTTTGGTTTGGGAGAAAATTGGCCCGAAAAAATTTAGGTTCATACTATTTCACTACAATCGCCAGTTTATTTGTATAAAAATTTAAAACTAATACATAATAATGGGTCAGAGATAACAAAAAGAAACAAAATTAGTCAATTAAGCTGTTTAAACGTGAGTGCCTCATAACCGTTTTAATGAAAAAAAACCTAGCAGCAGAGCAAACACATTTATTACTATTCAACTCTCAAAACACACGCCATTAAATGGCTTATTCAACCTGCTAATTCAAAAAAAATGCCTAAGAAAGCAAAAACTTTTGCGATTGATTACAAAAAAAATCATTTAGTATCACATTACGATTGATGTGTAAATAAAAAATAACCAATTCAAAATCCGAGTTGGTAAATTGACGAAACTACATGACAACTGACAACCATAGTAAAAACTGTTTGATTAAAAAAAACAGAAGTTGAGCCCAAAACCGCAAGCAATTAAACATAAGTTCAACAATTAAAATTTCTTTTGAAAATTTCGAATTTATGAAAACTGGCAAAAAACCATGGCCCACTGGGACTTGGACCAGAGATCTCAAGGATCAAGGGCAATTGCATCAGTTTTAGATCAAGTGGCACGAGGCGTGACTGCTGTTAACGTTTAAAAATACATCAAGTTCAATTTCTTACAGCTTTCATCAAAAGTGACTCACAATAAAAATCAAGATTTTTGATTATAAAAAACAAGCTCTTGCAAGTGAAAAACGTAAGATGATTTTTGGGCATGACGCGATTAATTCAAAATTGGATTGAGATCAAACTTGCAATCTTCCAGTAAACTGTGCTTTTTTAAAGAGATCTTATATGCCTTCCACTTAGCAATTGAATTTGATTTCGAAGGAACCTACAAAGACATTAAGAACTGAGCTTGATCAATTTTTCCTAGAAAAAAAACTGCACAATCTAAATAAAGGCCTTCATTTTGTCTTTTGACGACTCAAAAAAACTGAATTTTCTTCGTTCATAGTTAGTTAAAACTCACGCAGAAACAATAGTGTTTAGGATAAACTAAATGACTCGATACTTGCGGTTAAGGATACTGTTATCACAAAAAATGTTGGCCTAAGTTATTTGTACATACCTGTTTTGAAATATTCTGTACCTGCAATCCAGTAATTTAAAAAATTTTGAAGACTTTCCGTGTTTGGATACACTGCTCGTATTGGAACTAACTGATCAACCTTTATCAGACGAACAACTCCGCAGGAAACGATCAAACAATGAGCAAATATAACACTGGCAGAAACAAGTTGAAAAGAAGTCAGCTGTTTCAGTTCATCAGAAGTCTGTTCTGAAAAACAATATGTGGATTGCAGCTTCTGCTCAGTAGTAGTATTCTACTTTTTAGGTAAAATAGATACCAATTAAAAAAAAGAATAAGAATATCAATGTAGCAGTCTGATTTAAACTTAAGTAAAAAAAAAGTTTAAAGAGTTTAAAAAAGTCAAATATAGAGAAAGAACTGTTAGAAATGGTGAAATTTCTCAAGGTAAAATCGATTTACCCCTTCTTCGATTTGGGAAAAAAATTGGCTGGAAAAAATTTAGGTTCAAATTTTTTCACTATGATCGCCAGCTTGTTTGTATAAAACTTAAAAGTATTACATATTAATTGTCCTGAGATAACAAAATGAAACAAAATTAGTCAAATAAACCGATTAAACGTGAGTGCGTCATAACCTTTTTTATTGAAAAAAACATAATTACACGCCATTAAATAGCCTAATAAACCTGCAATTTCAAAAATTGCCAAATATAGTAAAACGGTTTGCGATTGAGGTTACAAAAAAGCCAGTTTGTATCACACTACGATTGACGTGTAAATAAAAACAACCGATTCAAAATCCGAGTTGGTAAATTGACAAAAGTACATGACAACTGACAAACATAGTAAGAACTGTTTGATTAAAAAAAACAGAAGTTTAGCCGAAAAAAGTAAGCAATTGAACATAAGTTCAAAAATTAAACTTTCTTTTACATTTTTCGAACTTATGAAAACTGGCAAAAAACCATGGCCCACTGGGACTTGGACCCAAGACATCAAGGGTGAAGGGCAACTGCATCAGTTCCAGATCAAGTGGCACGAGGCGTGACAGTTGTTAACGTTTAATAGTACATCAAGTTCAATTTCTTACAGCTTTTATCAAAAGTTACTACAAAAAAAATCAAGTTTTTCATTTTAAAACTTAAGCTCCTGATAGTGGAAAATACAGGATAGTTTTTCGGCATGAAAAGATTACTTCAAAACTGGATTGAGTTCGAATTTGCAATCTTTCAGTAAATTGGGCTTTTTTTAAAAGAGATCTCAGTTGCCTTCCACTTAGCAATTGCGTTTGATTTCGAAGAAACCTGCAAAGACATTAAAAACTGAGCTTGATCAATTTTTCCTAGAAAAAAAAACTGCACGATTTGAATAAGTGCTTTCATTTTGTCTATTGACGACTCAAATAACTGAGTTTTCTTCATTCATAATCAGTTAAAACTCACGCAGATCCAATAATGTTTAGGGTAAATTAAGTCATTTGATACTTGCGGTTAAGGGTGCTGTTATCACAAATAATGTTGGCCTAAGTCATTTGTACATACCTGTTTTGAAACATACTGTACCTGCAATACAGTAAATTTAGAAAATTTGAAGATTTTCCTGGCTTGCATAGAATGCTCAATTTTGAACTAACTGATCAATCATTCATCAAAAGAACAACTCCGCAGGAAACCATCAAACAATGAGCAAATGGCAGAAACAAGTTGAAAAAGAAGTCAGCTGTTACAGTTCATCAAAAGTCAATTCTGAAAGACAATATCTGGATTGCAGCTTCTGTTCAGATGTACTATTCTACTTTTCCGGTAAAATTTAGACCAATTAAAAAGTAATAAAATAATAAAGTCAATGAAGCAGTCTGATTTGTGCTTGAGAGTTTAAAAAAGTCAAATGAAGAGAAAGAGCTGTTAGAAAATGGTGAACTAAATCAAGGTAACAACGAGTTACCCCTTCTTTGATTTGAGAAAAAAAATTGTCTAGAAAAAATTTAGGTTCATACTTTTTCACTACAATCGCCAGCTGATTTATATAAAAACTTAAAAGTATTACATAATAACCGTCCTGGAAAAACAAAAGAAAACAAAATTAGTCAAATAAGCCGACTAAACATGAGTGCGTCATAATCGTTTTTTTGAAAAAAACATAGCAGCAGAACAAACACATTGATTACGATTCAACTCTCAAAACACACGCCATTAAATAGCCTATTAAACCTGCAATTTCAAAAAACGCCAAATACAGTAAAAGTTTTTGGGATTGAGGTTACAAAAAAGCCAGTTTGTATCACACTACGATTGATGTGTAAATAAAAACAACCAATTCAAAATCCGAGTTGGTAAATTGACAAAACTACATGACAATTGACAAAATAGTAAGAACTGTTTGATTAAAAAAAACAAAAATTTAGCCGAAAAAAGTTCAAAAATTAAACTTTCCTTTAATTTTTTCGAGATTATGAAACTGGCAAAAAACCATGGCCCACTGGGACTTGGACCCAAGACCTCAAGGATCAAGGGCAACTGCATCAGTTCCAGATCAAGCGACACGAGGCGTGACAGTTGTTAACGTTTAATAGTACATCAAGTTCAATTTCTGACAGCTTTTATCAAACGTTACTCACAATAAAAATCAAGACTTTTCATTATAAAATATAAGCTCTTGCAAGTGAAAAAAATAGGATCAATTTTTGGCATGACACGATTAATTCAAAATTGGATTGAGGTCAAACTTGCAATCTTCGAGTAAATTGTGCTTTTTTAAAGAGATCTTATATGCCTTCCACTTAGCAATTGAATTTGATTTCGAAGGAACCTACAAGGACATTAAGAACTGAGCGTGATCAATTTTTGATAGAAAAAAATGAACAATCTAAATAAGGGCCTTCATTTTGTCTTTTGACGACTCAAATAACTGAGTTTTCTTCGTTCATAATCAGTTAAATCTCACGCAGAAACAATAGTGTTTAGGGTAAACTAAATGATTCGATACTTGCGGATAAGGGTACTGTTATCACAAAACATGTTGGCCTAAGTTATTTGTACATACCTGTTTTTGAAATATACTGTACCTGCAATCCAGTAAATTTAAAAAATATTGAAGACTTGCCGGGCTTGGATACACTGCTGATATTGGAACTAACTGATCAACTTTTATCGAATGAACAACTCCGCAGGAAACAATCAAACAATGAGCAAATATAACACTGTCAGAAACAAGTTGAAAAGAAGTAAGCTGTTGCAGTTCATCAGAATTTTGTTCTGAAAAACAATATGTGGATTGCAGCTTCTGTTCAGTAGTAGTATTCTACTTTTCAGTTAAAATAGAAACCAAATTAAAAAAAATAGAATAACAATATCAACATAGCAGTCTGATTTAAACTTGAGAGTTTAAAAAAGTCAAATAAAGAGAAAGAGCTGTTAGAAATGGTGAATTTTCTCAAGGTAAAAACGATTTACCCCTTCTTTGATTTGAGAAAAAAAATTGGCTAGAAAAAATTTAGGTTCATACTTTTTCACTACAATCGCCAGCTGATTTGTATAAAAACTTAAACGTATTACATAATAACCGTCCTGGAATAACAAAAGAAAACAAAATTAGTCAAATAAGCCGACTAAACATGAGTGCGTCATAACCGTTTTTTTGAAAAAAACATAGCAGCAGAGCAAACACATTGATTACGATTCAACTCTCAAAACACACGCCATTAAATAGCCTATTAAACCTGCAATTTCAAAAAATGCCAAATACAGTAAAAGTTTTTGCGATTGAGGTTACAAAAAAGCCAGTTTGTATCACACTACGATTGATGTGTAAATAAAAACAACCAATTCAAAATCCGAGTTGGTAAATTGACAAAACTACATGACAATTGACAAAATAGTAAGAACTGTTTGATTAAAAAAAACAGAAATTTAGCCGAAAAAAGTTCAAAAATTAAACTTTCCTTTAATTTTTTCGAGATTATGAAACTGGCAAAAAACCATGGCCCACTGGGACTTGGACCCAAGACCTCAAGGATCAAGGGCAACTGCATCAGTTCCAGATCAAGCGACACGAGGCGTGACAGTTGTTAACGTTTAATAGTACATCAAGTTCAATTTCTGACAGCTTTTATCAAACGTTACTCACAATAAAAATCAAGACTTTTCATTATAAAATATAAGCTCTTGCAAGTGAAAAAAATAGGATCATTTTTTGGCATGACACGATTAATTCAAAATTGGATTGAGGTCAAACTTGCAATCTTCGAGTAAATTGTGCTTTTTTAAAGAGATCTTATATGCCTTCCACTTAGCAATTGAATTTGATTTCGAAGGAACCTACAAGGACATTAAGAACTGAGCGTGATCAATTTTTGATAGAAAAAAATGAACAATCTAAATAAGGGCCTTCATTTTGTCTTTTGACGACTCAAATAACTTAGTTTTCTTCGTTCATAATCAGTTAAACCTCACGCAGAAACAATAGTGTTTAGGGTAAACTAAATGATTCGATACTTGCGGATAAGGGTACTGTTATCACAAAACATGTTGGCCTAAGTTATTTGTACATACCTGTTTTTGAAATATACTGTACCTGCAATCCAGTAAATTTAAAAAATATTGAAGACTTGCCGGGCTTGGATACACTGCTGATATTGGAACTAACTGATCAACTTTTATCGAATGAACAACTCCGCAGGAAACAATCAAACAATGAGCAAATATAACACTGTCAGAAACAAGTTGAAAAGAAGTAAGCTGTTGCAGTTCATCAGAATTTTGTTCTGAAAAACAATATGTGGATTGCAGCTTCTGTTCAGTAGTAGTATTCTACTTTTCAGTTAAAATAGAAACCAAATTAAAAAAAATAGAATAACAATATCAACATAGCAGTCTGATTTAAACTTGAGAGTTTAAAAAAGTCAAATAAAGAGAAAGAGCTGTTAGAAATGGTGAATTTTCTCAAGGTAAAAACGATTTACCCCTTCTTTGATTTGAGAAAAAAAATTGGCTAGAAAAATTTAGGTTCATACTTTTTCACTACAATCGCCAGCTGATTTGTATAAAAACTTAAACGTATTACATAATAACCGTCCTGGAATAACAAAAGAAAACAAAATTAGTCAAATAAGCCGACTAAACATGAGTGCGTCATAACCGTTTTTTTGAAAAAAACATAACAGCAGAGCAAACACATTGATTACGATTCAACTCTCAAAACACACGCCATTAAATAGCCTATTAAACCTGCAATTTCAAAAAATGCCAAATACAGTAAAAGTTTTTGCGATTGAGGTTACAAAAAAGCCAGTTTGTATCACACTACGATTGATGTGTAAATAAAAACAACCAATTCAAAATCCGAGTTGGTAAATTGACAAAACTACATGACAATTGACAAACATAGTAAGAACTGTTTGATTAAGAAAAAACAGAAATTTAGCCGAAAAAAGTTCAAAAATTAAACTTTTCTTTAATTTTTTCGAGATTATGAAAACTGGCAAAAAACCTGGCCCACTGGGACTTGGACCCAAGACCTCAAGGATCAAGGGCAACTGCATCAGTTCCAGATCAAGCGACACGAGGCGTGACAGTTGTTAACGTTTAATAGTACATCAAGTTCAATTTCTTACAGCTTTTATCAAACGTTACTCACAAAAAAAATCAAGTTTTTCATTTTAAAACTTAAACTCCTGATAGTGAAAATACAGGATAGTTTTTCGGCATGAAACGATTACTTCAAAACAGGATTGAGGTCGAATTTGCAATCTTTCAGTAAGTTGTGCTTTTTTAAAAGAGATCTCATATGCTTTCCACTTAGCAATTGCGTTTGATTTCGAAGAAACCTCTAAAGACATTAGAAACTGAGCTTGATCAATTTTTCCTAGAAAAAACTGCACGATTAGAATAAGTGCTTTTATTTTGTCTATTGACGACTCAAATAACTGCGTTTTCTTCTTTCATAATCAGTTAAAACTCACGCAGATCCAATAACGTTTAGGTTAAACTATGTCATTTGATACTTGCGGTTAAGGGTGCTGTTATCACAAAAAATGTTGTCCGAAGTCATTTGTACATACCTCTTTGAAATATACTGTACCTGCAATACAGTAAATTAAAAAATTTTGAAGACTTTCCGTGTTTGGATACACTGCTCATATTGGAAGCTCTTACAGTTCATCAGAAGTCTATTCTGAAAGACAATATCTGGATTGTAGCTTCTGTTCAGTTGTACTATTCTACTTTTTCGGTAAAATTTAGACCAATTAAAAAGTGACAAAATAAAAAAGTCAATGTAGCAGTCTGATTTGTGCTTGAGAGTTTAAAAAAGTCAAATGAAGAGAAAGAGCTGTTAGAAAATGGTGAACTAACTCAAGGTAACAAGGATTTACCCCTTCGCCAGTTTATTTGTATAAAAATTTAAAAGTATTACATAACAATCGTCCTGAGATAACAAAAGGAAACAAAATTAGTCAATTAAGCTGATTAAATGTGAGTGCCGCATAAGCGTTTTAATGAAAAAAATCATAGCAGCAGAGCAAACACATTTATTACTATTAAACTGTCAAAACACACGCCCTTAAATAGCCTATTCAACCTGCTAATTCAAAAAAAAATCCCAACAAAACAAAAATTTTTTCCATTAAGGTTACAAAAAAGCCATTTAGTATCACACTACGATTAATCTGTAAAAAAACAACCAATTCAAAAATTGATAAATTGACAAAACTACATGACAACTGACAAACACATTAAGAACTGTTTGATTCGAAAAAAAGAAATTTAGCCGAAAAAGTAAGCAATTAAACATAAGTTCAAAAGTTACACTTTCCTTTAGAAATTTCGAACTTACAAAAAGTGTTAAAAAAAACCATGGCCCACTGGGGTTGGACCCAAGACCTCAAGGATCAAGGGCAACTGCATCAGTTTCAGATCATGTGGCACAAGGCGTGACAGTTGTTCACGTTTAATAATTCATCAAGTCAATTTCTTACAGCTTTTATAAAAAGTTACAAAAAAAATCAAGTTTTTCATTGTAAAACATTAGCTCTTGCAAGTGAATACTATAGGATAGTTTTTTGGCATGACACGATTACTTCAAAAATTTGATTGAGTTCGAATTTGCAATCTTCCAGTAAATTGTGCTTTTTTAAAAGATGTTAAATGCCTTCCACTCAGCAATTGAGTTTGATTTCGAAGAAACCTAGAAAGACATTAAAAACTGAGCTTGATCAATTTTTCCTAGAAACAAAAAACTGCACGATTTGAATAAGGGCCTTCATTTGTCTATTGACGACTCAAATAACTGAGTTTTCTTTGTTCATAATCAGTTAAATTTCACGCAGATCCAATAGCATTTAGGGTAAACTAAGTCATTTGATACTTGCCGTTAACGGTACTGTTATCACAAAACAGTGTTGGCCTAAGTTATTTGTACATACCTGTTTTTGAAATATACTGTACCTGCAATCCAGTGAATTGAGAAATTTTGAAGACTTTCCTGGTTATGATAGATTGCTCAGCTTGGAACTAACTGATCAATCATTCAAAAAATGAACAACTCCGCAGGAAACGATCAAACAATGAGCAAATATAACACTTGCAGAAACAAGTTGAAAAGAAGTCAGCTAATACAGTTCATCAGAAGTCTATTCTGAAAGACAAAATGTGGGTTGCAGCTTCTGTTCAGTAGTATTATTATACTTTTTCGGTAAAATGTAAACCAATCAAAGAGTAATAATAAAATAAAATCAATGTAGCAGTCTGATTTGGGCTTAAGAGTTTGAAAAAGTCAAATAAAGAGAAAGAGCAGTTAGAAAATGGTGAACAAATTCAAGGTAACAACGATTTACCTCTTCTTTGATTTGGAAAAAAAAATTGGCTAGCAAAAGTTTAGATTCATACTATTTCACTACAATCGCCAGCTCATTTGTATAAAAACTTAAAACTATTACATAAAAATCGTCCTGAGATAACAAAAGGACACAGTATTAGTCAAATACGCCGATTAAACGTGAGTGCGTCATAACTGTTTTTATTGAAAAAAAACCTAGAAGCAGAGCAAACACATTTAATACTATTAAATTGTCAAAACACACGCCATTGAAAAGCCTATTCAACCTGCTAATTCAAAAAATGCCAAATATAGTAAAAGTTTTTGCGATTGAGGTTACAAAAAAGCCAGTTAGTATCACACTACGATTGATGTGTAAATAAAAAAACAACCGATTCGAAATCCGAGTTGGTAAATTGACAAAACTACATGACAACTGACAAACATAGTAAGAACTGTTCGATTAAAAAAAAACAGAAGTTTAGCCGAAAAAAGTAAGCACTTAAACAGAAGTTCGAAAATAAATTTCCTTTAAATTTTTCGAATTTATGAAAACTGGCAAAAAACCATGGCCCACTGGGGCTTGGACCCAAGACCTCAAGGATCAAGGGCAACTGCATCAATTCCAGATCAAATGGCACGAGGCGTGACAGTTTTTAACGTTTAATACTGCATCAAGTTCAATTTCTTACAGCTTTTATCAAAAGTTACTCACAATAAAAATCGAGTTTTTCATTATAAAACATAAGCTCTTGATAGTGAAAATTACAGGATAGTTTTTCGGCATGAAACGGTTACTTCAAAACTGGATTGAGGTCGAATTTTCAATCTTCCAGTAAGTTGTGCTTTTTTAAAAGAGATCTCATATGCCTTCCACTTAGCAATTGCGTTTGATTTCAAAAAAACCTACAAAGACATTAAAAACTGAGCTTGATCAACTTTTCCTAGAAAAAAAACTGCACGATTTGAATAAGTGCTTTCATTTTGTCTATCGACGACTCAAATAACTGAGTTTTCTTTTTTCATAATCAGTTAAAACTCACGCAGATCCAATAATGTTTAGGGTAAACTAAGTCATTCGATACTTGCGGTTAAGGGTGCTGTTATCACAAAAAAAACGTTGGCCTAAGTCATTTGTACATAACTGTTTTGAAATATACTGTACCTGCAATACAGTAAATTTAGAAATTTTGAAGACTTTCCTGGCTTGGATAGAATGCTCAGTTTGGAACTAACTGATCAATCATTCATCAAAAAAACAACTCCGCAGGAAACCATCAAACAATGAGCAAATATAACACTGGCAGAAACAAGTTGAAAAAGAAGTCAGCTGTTATCGTTCATCAGAAGTCTATTCTGACAGACAATATCTGGATTGCAGCTTCTGTTCAGATGTAATATTCTACTTTTCCGGTAAAATTTAGACCAATTAAAAAGTAATATAATAATAAAGTCAATGTAGCAGTCTGATTTGTGCTTGAGAGTTTAAAAAAGTCAAATGAAGAGAAAGAACTGTTACAAAATGGTGAACTAACTCAAGGTAACAACGATTTACCCCTTCTTTGATTTGGAAAAACAATTGGCCAGAAAAATATTAGATTCATACTATTTCACTACAATCGCCAGCTTATTTGTAAAAAAAACTTAAACCTATTACTAAAAAAATGTCCTGAAATAACGAAATGACACATTATTAGTCCAATACGCCGACTAAACGTGAGTGCGTCTTAACCGTTTTATTGAAAAAAAACTTAACCTCAGAGCAAATGTCATTTATTACTTTTCAACTGTCGAAACACACGCCCTTAAATAGCCTATTCAACCTGCTAATTCAAAAAAATGCATAAGAAAGCAAAAAATTTTTCGATTAAGGTTACAAAAAAGCCATTTAGTATCACACTACGATTGATCTGGAAAAAACAACCAATTCAAAATCCGAGTTGGTAAATTGACAAAACTACATGACAACTGACAAACATAGTAAGAACTGTTTGATTCGAAAAACAGAAATTAAGCCGAAAAAGTAAGCAATTAAACATAAGTTCAAAAATTACACTTTCCTTTAAAATTTCGAACTTATGAAAACTGGTAAAAAAAACCATGGCCCACTGGGACTTGGACACAAGACCACAAGGATCAAGGGCAACTGCATGATTCAGATCAAGTGGCACAAGACGTGACAGTTGTTAACGTTTAATAGTACATCAAGTTCAATTTCTTACAGCTTTTATCAAAAGTTACAATAAAAATCAAGTTTTTTTATTGTAAAACATTAGCTCTTGCAAGTGAGTACTATAGGATAATTTTTTGGCATGACACGATTACTTCAAAAAATTGGTTGAGTTCGAATTTGCAATCTTCCAGTAAGTTGTGCTCTTTTAAAAGATGTTAAAAGCCTTAACTTCCACTTATCAATTGAGTTTGATTTCGAAGGAACCTACAAGGACATTAAGAACAGAGCGTGATCAATTTTTCCTAGAAAAAAAACTGCACAATCTGAATAAGGGCCTTCATTTTGTCTATTGACGACTCAAATAACTGAGTTTTCTTTGTTCATAATCGGTTAAAACTCACGCAGATCCAATAGCATTTAGGATAAACTAAGTCATTCGATACTTGCCGTTAACGGTACTGTTATCACAAAAAAGTGTTGTCCTAAGTTATTTGTACATACCTGTTTTTGAAATATACTGTACCTCCAATCCAGTAAATTTAGAAATTTTGAAGAGTTTTCTGGTTTGGATGTTTTCTGTTTTGGATAGACTGCTCAATTTGGAACTAACTGATCAATCATTCAAAAAATGAACAACAACTCTGCAGGTGTTTCCAAGTTTTATGAAAATCTCCATGGAATCCACGCACAACTATTCTTCTTTGTCGGGCTAGTCAAACATTGCCAGTAGAACACTCGAATGAAAATAATATTTTATTCATAGGGACTCAAGATGTGTTTGACGGCTCAAGTATATATACAATATGTTTCCATAGACTTTACAACTGTACATTTCATAACAACGGAATCATTCCGTATTTACAATATTTTACAGAGAAGATACAACTTCAAATCTGTTAATAGATGATAGAAGACTTTTTAAAGAGAAATCTAAGCATAAAATGATATCAGAGTAAATTTAGAGCTCTTTGATCAATTAGCAGCTACTTGTTCAGGTATATAGTTTGAATGTTGTTCTGCATCTGTGATGGCGGGTAGTTTCGTTGTTCTTGATTGGTCACTTGCATTCTGTTCGGCTGAATGAACTGCCCGGTCTGAATTTTCTTCGAGTGCTTGTTGTGTTATGAATGTGTTATCTTCAGTGGCATGTGCTTCTTGGCTGAAACGCAGTACTTACGATTTAATTTTTATTTGAAGCTAGATCAATGACGACGACTGCTACCCTCTTGTTCTATAACTCGCATCAAAAGTCTCATGATTACTGATTACTCTATTTCGATTATGAACTATCAACCATTTTATTCTGAAAGTTTATTGGTAATAAAACTTTCATTGCAAAAATATTAGTGAAATAAACAAAACTCAGTGCAGCATTTGATATTCTCAAAAAAAAAATACTTGCAGAATGTTTTTGTCCTTAAGTACTAGTATCGAGCATCAAAAAACAGATCTGAAAAAGGAACCTTGGACTGATTGCAGGCAGTTGTTTACTCTGTGGGGCTAGATTGGTCCTCTGCTTGTGCATCTTGTACCCATTCATCCTCGCAAACAACAGTCTCAGCACCTTCTCCCGCTGCTCCCAACTTAACTGCCCAATATCCACGTTCTGTCCCAGGTGGGACCTCAACACAAACACCATAAAGACTCAACCCACAAAAAAAAGCAAAACAAAACAGAGGCCAAACTACACTTCGCAACAAGAAAGGAACTCAACGGCTCCGCAAAAGAGTATTTACAAAATAAGAATGTCTCAGCAATTCGACAACCTCGCCATCCAAATGATCCCCTCTCGGTACTCACTTAGGACATCCATTTTGGCCGACTATCCCTAAGAGTGCCAATAAGTTTAAGGATAGAGCGAGCGCCGACAAACGCGATTTCTTGGACAAACATTTCCAAGACGTACCCAAAAAGTCATTTTTGCCGGATTTTCATTCATTCAACAGACCCCCCATCACCCCACAAAAAATCTTATCATTTTTTGATTTTAAAAATATCCATCGATGACTCAATAACGTAGAAAATAGCGTTCTTTCATTAAAGTCGACTTTTTTCATTTCCGAAACCTTTGCGTTCCTCCCCTGAAATGAGCTGCCATAAGATGTATCTTATACATTTCTTTGTTTTAATATTTCTTCTCTTACCAATCCTGAGCCATTTCGAAATCATTGAAGACAGTGTTGGTAGATGTCTCCTGGTTGGAGGCCGCAAAGTTCCTCACTTTGGGGTAGTCCGCCTTCCCAGCGTGGGCTGCCAGCATTCGCTGCTGATAGGCCTTCTGGGCGTCCTTCTTGTACATGAGCTGGTTCACTGCTATCTCCTCTCTCACCTGTTCCAAGGAGTCCAGGAAGAACCTCTCCATCTCAGATCGCTGAAACCAATTTTTGGTACATACCATCTTCAACGTTATATTTGTTATGACATCAATGTTCCCTACATAATGAGATAATTTTTTTTACGGCGTAATCGTTCACACAGACTCAAAGTGGCACTTTGCATACACAAGCGAAATTTCACAAAAATTCAGTCCACGCGTGCTTTCATAACTCTCTAAGATTTCATACAAATTTCAAAAAGAAAAATGGTTGTCATTTAGTTCTCGCCCACTAACACATTGATAGCTCCAAAAAAACTTGTCTCATATCAATTCGAATGATTTCTGGGCCGGGTTAATCGGCCACTTAAGCGTAAATAGAATTAAATATATCGTGAGTTAACTGTCCTCGATTGGCAAATCTCAGAGCCCAATTACTTTTCGGAAAACAATCGCAGTTGATACATTTTTCTAATTTGGAGCTCAAGGTATTCATATCTTTCATTTATAATATAGCCAACACACAATTGGAAAAGAGCCGAGGTGAACAAAAAAATATCACCTCAAAGCTCTTGAATTTCATGTATCTTGTATGATTGACTAACGCAATATGAGAAACATGGATCAATAGATACTTTCTACTCTGCAGGGATTTCTGACAACTACTATCTAAAAACCACGAGTCAAACGCACTATTAAAAATTTTGTTATTCGAAAGAGTAATGAGCCTTCCACTTGGCAAATTAATTTGACTTGAAAGTAAAAAGAAATGAAGGTTAAACCGCTGAAAACTCAAACTTGAGCGTAAAAAAGGAAAAAACAACGACAAAAAAAGACAGATATGATTTCTTCATGAAAAAAAAAAACAACAGAACAATTCAACCCTGCTGACAGCTTTTTGACAGATAGGCAAAAAACTGAAATTAAAAAGAAATGAAGGTTAAACCCCTAAAAAATCAAACTTGAGCGTAAAAAAAGAAAAACAACGACAAAAAACTACAGATATGCTTTTTCCTGGAAAAAAAAACCAACAACACAATTCAACCCTGCTGAAAGTTTTTTGACAGATAGGCAAAAAAAAACTGTCAGCAGGGTTGAATCGTGATTTAAGCCCCTTTTATTAACATTGTTTTAACCGATCTGTTATAAACCTGGATTGAATGAAGTAAGAAATCAGACCAAGCACAAAAATTAACCAAAACTGGAACAATTAAATCAAAACGTATTAATTTTTTCAGCATCGACTTTGCTTAACCAAAAAAAAAAAAACATAGCCAGAACTGAACGCAAAACCCAGAAGCGCAACTTAGGTTGTGAAAAAGTGAAATCGTAGTCTACCACAAGCGCATTCTAAGACTTCGTAGGTTAAACCATTTGACTAACCTTCCAAGCCCACTAAGTTTATATAAGATAGGCCGAAATCTCTAACACCAAAAAACCATAGCCAACTGACAGTTGGATAAGAGTAATGATCGCACGGTAACAAGAAAAAAACTTCGAATTTCAAAAGAAAAAATAGATGCTTTTAAGCTCTTTGAGTTTCAAGAACAATTTATGATTTTAAAAAGCATTTTTGATTTTAAAAAGTCCAATTTGAGAAAACTGAGTCAAAATGTAAAAATTTCAATCCGCTGGGAAATCTGAATATTAAAATCAACGTTCGAAACTAGAACTCGATCTCGTTTTTTGTTACCTTTACATTTTTTCTGTTCGATAGTGAAGTTTGCTTTCCTTTAAAAAAACGGAAATTAACTGAACTTAAAAAAAACAGAAGTCGAACCGCGAAAAAATAGCGCAAACAAATTTCAAGACTTTTTCCTGAAAAAATAAAAGTAATAACAAAGACATAAAGAAAAGTTAAAAACAAAGCCAAAGAAAAGTTTTAATAAAAAAAATTAAAAAGTTAAAAACATAGCCAATTGAAAATTGGAAAAGGGTAATGAACGCAAGTAAACATAACAAAAACACTGACTTTGAAAAAATTTCAACTTTCGAATTTCAAAGAAAAAATAGACGCCCTTTAAGCACTTTGAATTTCTAAAACGATTTATGATTAGAGCTTTTTTGATTACACTCACCAAATTTGATAAAACTGCATCAAAAGGTTAACTTTCATTTCGCTGGGAAATCTGATAATTAAATTCCACTTTGGAAACTTGAAATCGTTCACGATTTTTTTGTGCGCTATTTCCACGTTCGTATTTGGAGAGTGCTAATTACGTTACTTTCAGCAGCTGAGTTTCAATTGAACTCAAAAAGTGCATATATACACAAGTGCATCAATATTCAAAGACTTTTTCCTGAACAAAAAAAAAACAAAAACCAGCAAGCCCTATGTAAGAGTCTTCACTACGTACATTACTCAATTAAAATTTTAAATTTATAACAAATAAAAAACATTCGAATAGAACGGATAACGCCAATGCAGTCCTGTTCAAAATGAGTCTTTTGCATTAAATATGTTGCCAACAGAGGCGTACAATAGATGAGCCAAGTGATCAAGTTATCTACGGGTATAAACTCTAGTACTCGGTTGCACTATCCGTGCTTATCGCAAGAAAAATAAATATGTCAAATATTAACCAATTAAATCCACAGGCCAACCCAAAACTGAATATATTTCTGTCATGAAGAACAAATCAATCATTAATATATAACCACAAGGTCTACCTGGTCTAGAATGTTTCTGGCCAGAAATTTGATCTTGACATTCTCCTTGGTCTTAAGGTCTAGCACGCGTCGTAGTCTCTCTATTTCCATCCGACTGTCCTGCAGTTCCCCCTCTGCCGAGTGCAATATTCTCGCCTTCTCCTCCTCGAACTCAGACACGATGTGGGTCAGAGAGTCCTCCAGAGTCTGGATTTTGCCGTAGAGCTACATTTGAAAAAAAAACTTATTTGAAACTACTGTAAATAACCACAATATCCAATTAGAAAACAACAATCCGAGTGCAGTGTCACGTCCAATATTGAAAAAAATTCTGCTATTTAGGTCAAATTTTATCTGACATCGTCTGGCTCAGCATAAAGAGCCATCTTACTGCTCGCTGACTTCTATCACTAACCGTGAATTACATTACTCACAATTACTAGTCCTGTGAGTTCTGTTAAAAGCAATCTCTTAAGGCATCCAGTTTTTGGGTAATTAAACGCCGTGTTGGATTCTCAAAATACGCAAATCTCAACAATAGCTTCTGATGAATTGCTTAAAATTAACAACAAACATTGGCATTCAAATCGTATTGCAAATACCTTCCTTTAATTACTGGCGAAAACATGCTGATAAAAACTAAATTTAATGAATATTTCAAACGCTTGACTCGATTACTCTTGAATTTAACTGAGAAAAAATCCTGCCAATTCAGAAAGGGGCGGATCTAGGATTTTCTCGAGGGGGGGTATTTTCAAAACAATTTGACAACCTTTTTTTAGCTCGACCAAATTGATTTTCCGAGCTCTCTTAAAGCACTAAAAAGAAGCAGTTTTGGCCAAATTTTCTGAGCACTTTTTGGAAAATTTTGACAAAAAAATTGCGTTTTTTTTGGCGCGCGCTCCCCCTCAAAATTAGTATATATTGGCGCCAAAGGCGCCTTTAGAAAAATTTTAGGGTCGGTCTGCCAAAAATGGATTTCTTAAAAAGTACCAAAGGGGGGACCCTTTGGGTCGGCAGGGGGTCGAATCCCTGAAGGGGGCGTCCGCCCCCCCCCCCCCCTAAATCCGCTCCTAAAGTCAGACAACTGCCACTGTTAAATTAGCATATAAAATAAATTTACAAAGCTATACTTAGCCGACAATAACTGATGACACGCCCATTCAGCTGGAAAAACCATGTCTTATAGAAAAAAAAACATTTTGCACATCAAATGACGCAATATCACACCCATAAGTCGATAGAATATAAGACTAAACCTTTAAAGTCAAACTAATAAAAAACAAATATATATCCGAAATTATTAGAACATAAAAAATTGAATGAACTATGTATTTAAAACGCAAATAAAAATCGAATGAAATATGTATTTAAAATGCTAATATAATTGAAATATGTATCTTGCTGAAAAAAAAACACAGCGTTGAACAAATGATGCAGTGACTCTATTAGACAGGTTGTTCAACTGGAAAAGTCATGTTCCGATTTCATAACTCTTGCTAATTGCCAGGCTAATAATTATCAGTTTTTGGAGCCATATGTCACCCATTACAAAAACAAATGAACTCTAAATTACCTTTTTGATGTGGTTTTTCTGCCTCTTGGCTTCAATTATCTTCTCTTGCACTAGCACGTCATGCAGATCCCTCTCGGCCGCATAGTCTCCAGTGACTCCCTCCAGATTATCCACCTTCTTCTTCAGCTTGTCCTCTGACGTCATATGCAGATGAAGTGCCTCTGATAGACGCACATTTTCCTTGTACACAGAGCGAGTGTTCTCGTCTAAATTTCTGAAGCACACTTCATATTTCATGCTTAGGTTGTCATTACTTCGATTTATGCTAATAGCTTTCAGTCATCTCCGATTTAAAATTATCATAAGGCTCCACTTTTCTATAATTTCATTCATCACCCAATTTCAAACCGGCATGTACCTGATAGCCTCCTCATGAGCGTTCTTCGTGATCTGCTCAATTCTCGCATTCGACTCTTCTTTCATTCGGATCTGAACAGAAAAAACTCAATATATTGCTCACATTTTTTAATAACTGTTTTGTTTGGCTATGGCTTGAGCCTTCTTAACTCACCCTCTCCTCAAAGAACTTCTGTTCCATCTTTTGCAAATCTCCCTTGTGGACTCTGTGCTCCTCGACCATCTGATCCCTGATCTAGAAAACAAAAACTGCTCCTTTATCAAACAATTTCCATATCATTAAGAATACCCTTCGACAACTATTTTGCGTAATTCCTAGCTACCCATCTTCTTATTTGTACAAATTCACTAAAATTTAAAACAGGCAAAGCTGTGACATCGAAAACACAAACGGCATAAACTAGCTCCAAAAGGATCAAAAAGTAAGCAAGGAAAGAAAAGTTACATGAATAAAAGATGAGTGCCAGAGTCGAACTCCGGCATTAAGAGTCACACGCCCTGGCATCTGCGCCATGACGGCTTATGCGAAAGTGCCATCAAATAAATGAGCACTTCTATTTACAGTCCATAATATGACACTTAGCTCCGATTGTGTAATCAAGTTTACTGCAACTAATTTTTGAGTGAATATCTCTTCAATACAAACAGACAGATTTCAAACTAGCATCATATTGATCAGTACACAACTCACATCATCCAGGTCTTTCTGCATCTGGCCCCTTTTCCTCCTGAACTCCTTGACCATCTTCAGCTCATTTTGCATGGTCTGCACATCCGCATTCCTCATGCCAAGACTCTCTTCTAACTCCTTCACACGCCTCTCGTAGTCTGTGATCTGGTCAACATATTTTTTCTCACGGACAATTCAACACAGTTATAAGTTACAAAACTTAAGGCCGAGACGGTTTTTTAAAAAACCACGCCCATACTCAGGTCCCTCAAACGTACAGACAGACAAAAGCATGTTATCCCATCTCAATAAAGGTAACTCAAAGCGATTGGAAAACTAAAAGAAGTTCAACTGACGAAAAGTTTAAAAATTATAAAATAGGCTAGTAAATTGCCGATCCCTTGCTCAGCTTGCACCAGAGATAGAACTCTGGAAATCATAACGTCGCCGAACTGGAACCACCACGGAATAACTTTAAATGCCTAACCAGTTTCTCCCGATCATCTCGGGCCATGCGCTTTGCTTCATTTAGTTGATGCTCCAGCGAACTTATCTAAACAATATTATTACAGTTGAAAACCTTTTCCATGCCATCGACAAGTATCTTCAAAATTTGTTTCGAAAGCTTAAACCGATAGCCTACCTTCTCTTCCTTTGTCAAATCTTGTTTCTTTAGATATGTAACAACATCAATAGTGTCTCGTTCTGTCAAATGCATATGCGTGTGCATATTGTTTTGTGCCAATGCCAGTGAGCGGGCTGCATCCCTAAAACATGGAACAGCTTCGCGTCAAAGTAATGGTCGTAGACATGACTTTAGGTCATTTAATCTAAAGGTGGGTGTTAACTCATCAGTTTTCAATTGGCGCGATGTTTAATCACTGGGTTACAAGAACCACATGAGCACAGAATTCTCCACGTGCATGATTCTGCTTCAGTATGTTTCTTCACAAAAAAGTCTTTGTAAAGCTTTGTTGATACGTTTTTCGAGAGTTCAACTTCACAGGTTCACAGGCTAACTTCTGATCTATAGGCCTCCCAGGCCTCTGTCGACCAGCTCTTTCTTGGACGTCCATTTCGTCGTTCCATAAACGATGCGTCATATATTTCAGACGCCCATAGTTTGTCTAGTCTTGATTTGAAAACGTATACACTCTCGCTTGATATTACTGTTTCGGGTAGCGAGTTCCAGTCGTTGATGGCTGCAACTGAAAAGAAATTTTGTCTAGCAGTAGTTTGTCTAGTCTTGATTTGAAAACGTATACACTCTCGCTTGATATTACTGTTTCGGGTAGCGAGTTCCAGTCGTTGATGGCTGCAACTGTAAAGAAATTTTGTCTAGCAGTAGTTCTGGTCTTCTTGATCACAATCTTGAAAGGGTTTCTTCTTGTCTCTTTCGTTGATTGTAAAAAAAATACTTCAGTCGCTGCTGTATCGTATAGACCGTTCGTGAGCTTGTTTAAAATGTTTATGAGCTTGTTCGTGAGCTTGCTTAAAATGTTTATTAGTTTCGTCGTGCGCGTCCAGAAATTTTCACCTGTCTTTTTGAGACAATTCTTTGGAACTTCAAATTCTTCATTTAGTCTCGTGTGTTGTTTTTATTGGTTCACGAGTAGTGCAGATTTAAATTATCCGGACAAAACGAACAACACTTCAATTTTCAAACGCATTTTTCTCAACTTGGGTTAAGATTAGACAAAAAGTGAAGAGAACAAAGTTGCTTAGAATTTCACCAGAATTAATATGGTGCTATTTTTTCTCCCAAATTCTCAACCAAAATTTTACCCCAAAAATGGGTCATTTTGGCTTTTTTCAATTAATCAAGAATTACGCTGAAACTACTTTGTTAATTGATAAAAATATGTCATTAGAAGCTTCTTCCGCAGCCCAACGAAGTTTAAGAAAGATTAAATCTCCAAAAACCAGTACCAGAGAAAAAATTTTTACTTGATAGTCAATAAATGTGATTTTTACTATTTAAAACACAGAATCTCTGTTTAAAATCAAATTTGAAACAATTTGCGCAAATTTTTGGAGATTTAACCCTTCTTAAACTTTGTTGGGCTGCGGAAGAGACTTCTAATGATATAAATTTTTCATCAATTAACAAAGTAGTTTCAGCGTAATTCTTGATTAATTGAAAAACGCCAAAATGACCCTTTTTTGGGGTAAAATTTTGGTTGAGAATTTCGGAGAAAAAACTGCACCATATTAATTCTGATAAAATTTTAAGCAACTTTTGTTCTGTTCACTTTTTGTCTAATCTTAACCAAATTTGAGAAAAACGCGTTTGAAAATTGAAGTTTTGTTCGGATAATTTAAATCAGCACTGTATGTCGATGTTGTATTTCTCGTTGTGTGTTGAGAGTAAAACAAAATATCATTCAGTTCTAGGTACATGGATATCGGTAGTATATCTAGCTGTATTAGCCATTGTTTGTAGTCTCTTGGCTTTCCGCAGATCCACAAGGTTACTTTAAGCTGAAATTTTACAATTAATTTTTTTATCCAATTTGGATGGATACCACGCCTGAGGCATACGACAAAACAGGTACTGCATATCCAATATATTCAATCACTTCTGTGTATTGGTTATTTTTCGAAACCTGGACAGTCAATTGTTGTGATATTAGCCCACACTGTTCCGACCACACTGATTGATTTAAAAACATAAAAACAAAGATAAAAAACGTTTTAGACTTCTGTAATAACACTTTTATTAGTTGAAAAAAAAACAAGAATGATAAGTGATATTAGCTATAAAAATCATACAGTAGAAAGTAATTGAGCGTTTAGTCCGCATCGGGTGTCATCCGTAATTTTCGTGTCAGAACCGGAGAAACGGTCATGGTTAGAGGTTTCCCAGTGTCATCCGCCTCCTCAAGGTGGGATCACCGGTTACGGCGAAATTGATGACATTCTCCTCCCCCTCGGTTGGCCCTCCATTGAGTCGGACGAGGGGTTAATAAGAAAAAAGAAAGAAACTATTGGGTAGGGTCTGCTTTTTCCTCCCGATTTTGACTACCTTTAAGAAGATTCGTAAGTATTCAGATTTTTCATGATTCGATTGATCGAAAAGGTTTGTTGAAAAAAGTGCACGGAACCACAATCAATGGTCTATTGCAATATTAAGAGAGATGCATCCCCCATTTATAAGGTAGATTTTAACCTGTATTCATTGCGCGACTTCTCAATGTTGTCCAGTCTGTGCTCCCAAATTCTTGCATTGGCTGCTGCCAACCCGGCGATATCATCTTTACCGGGTTTACTAAATTCAAGTACGGATAATTTTAATTTTGTCAAAAAGAGCTGGTTGAAAGGTAGACAAAATACAATCGCTATGCTCAGTTTATAAAAAAACTATGGTGTTTGCCATCAAACCACATACTTCAATTGCAGCAGCAACTTCAAACAAAGCCGTCAAATAGGATTCCATTTTGATTCTGTAAAACATTTCATATAGATTACCACACCACCCACTCAGACTTAGATTTTTGATGGTCAAAAAATTGAAAAACGTAAAAAAACATATTCGCCCTTTCAAAAACATAATAGAAAAACAAGTCGGATCAAGGTTGAAATAAAAACGTTTTCGGCAATCCTGCCATCATCATTCTCTCATAATTTGAGCAAAAGTTTGATCATGATTAATTTATCGTAGCTGCGATACACTTTTTGGTTTACAAGCCGCGAACGTTAGTAGATGAGGCATAAGGGGCAGCACCGCTGCCACATTCCATATCAAAAACTTCGATAGAGGTCATGTCTTACTCTTTCTTCCCTCCTTTCTTTCCTTTTCCTTTCTTTCCTTTCCCTGTCCCTCCTTTCTTGCCTTTCTTGGGCATTTTCAACCTGAAGAAAATTGATATGAAAAAAATGGAATCGGCGCATATGCTCTTACCAATTGCGGAAATCTGGTAATATTGTATTAATATTTAAGTATTCCAAATTCATGTTGTTCAAAAATTAAGCGATTTTCACAGCGCCTTGAATCAAGTCGTTTTCTCAGAGTTCTTTCAATCATAGCCTGTCTAGTCTGTAGCAAAAAATCGGCCCATCCAGCTTGTCAATTTTTTAACTGCCTTTAAAACAAGTGTTGTGCTTAGTGAAAAAGAAACACTTTAATTACTATACAAAATGGTCAATGCATTATAATAAAAACAGTGTACAATTAAAATTATGTGACATTCGACCAGAATGTACGGAAATGCAAAATCGAATTCGAAATTTTATTGTTACATCGGAGTGGGAAGATTAACCGTTTTAACGAATTAGAGGTCTTAATCGTTCATTTCGACGAACACGGAAGGATAAGAATTTTTTAAAATTGTTAATTCAAACGTTTTCGCACATTTTGTGCATCGTCAGGATATAAAAATTTTTTATTTACAATAAAATGATCAAAGATCATGTATGAAATTCAAAAAGAACATGTTAGAAATTTTTAACCAATCACATTCTTACATCTAATATTACGTAATCATTATTTCATCGATTATGACAATTTCCATACTTTTTTGTTACTTGAGTCATAATTTTTCGATTTGATGTTTTATCCAAACTGACATGTCAGTTTATTTTATATGTCAGAGAGGTAGTGCGGAGAGGGATAGATGAACAATGGTGGCCCTCGATAGCATTTTATCTAAAGCTCCAGGCTAGAATTGCTATCCATGACATCAAGGATAGACATGAAAAGAAGAAATTTTTGCTAAAAAGTAAATTTCAAACGTTTTCGCAACTATGTGCATCGTCAGGATTTTTACAATAAACTACTCTAAATGACGATAAAACATCAATTTACAAATGTTATTTACAATAAATCACATACAATTTGGTTCTAAACCATCATGATAAAAAATTAGCCAATCACAGTTGACCTCTAAATTACTATTAAGATTAAAATACTTTTAACCTCTAAAATTAATTAAACATTTTAAAATTAATTTGTCTGGAAGTTTCTGAGTCATAATTTCGATTTAGACATGTACGTTTTGAATAAAAAACCAAAAATATTTTGGGACTAAATTTTCAGTGTTAACTCCCTGCTCCTAAACTCATCGCGCGTGTTCAAGCCCGGTTTCTCTTTCCTGATATGTATTGCCTCTAGTGTTAGCAATTTTGTTTGGTTGTTTGACCTATCTATAATTTCCCAACTAAGATCTGCGCTATTTCCCTCAAGTTGGCATTGCTGAAGGTGGAGGCCTACCGGTGAGTCTGCTTTCCTATGTTCCTCAATTCTAGTGGTCAAATGTCGAACAGTTTGTCCGACATAGGTGGAAGTGCATCCACTACATGACAGTTTATAAACCACTCTTGACTTGAGGTCATTAGAAAATGCTGACTTCAGTGATGGTAAACATGATTGTAGTTTTCTTGTGGTGAAAACCACTTGAACGTTCGTTAATTTTCGTAACCTGTTAGCAAAATATTGGCTCTGGTTACCTCTATATTGCACCATCAGCATTGGGGGCTTTTCATCCTTTGGTGATTGAACTGACAAACCCCTGTCACTATCCAGGGGCTTGCCTTTACCCTCGATGATCTTGCACAAGGCGTCTGAAGCCACCTTTGCGGACCAATTTTCAGGGTACTGATTTGTCAGCCATTGCGCCCTATTAGTTTCCATAGCCTTATCAAATTGCTCCCAGCTAGATGTACTCCTAAAAACCCTGTGTACAGTGCCTTGGATAACACTACGCTTATACTGAGTTGGGGCGCAGCTTCTATAGTTCAGTATAGTCCCTGTATCTGTTGGTTTTTGATACCAACTGCAAGTTACACGCCTATCCTGCGATATATTTATGTTCAAATCCAGGAACGGCAAATTCCCCTCCGAATTAGTTTTCTCTAGAGTGAACTGCAAATTTGGATGAAGAGAATTGGCGGCATCGAGAATACAACTCGGCTCCCCTCTGACTGTTCTAACAATGTCATCCACATACCTGAGGAACAATTTCACCTGGGGAGTATCCTTCTCCTTGTTCTTAGCTCGGCAGCAGCTTTCACAGTACCAGACTATCTCGGTTATTGATGCGTATACGTCATCGGATATTTTTCCGCATTTTAGATGATACCAGTTTCGGCAACTCTCGCATTCAACCCCCTTTGATCTATATGTGACTTTCCTGCTGCAACATGGGCACAAGCCGTTTTTGTCATTAATTTGCTGTACCCCCGTTCCCACCGGTATTTGTTGTCGTAGAGCAAATTCGTATTCTTTCAGCCATAAGTTTGCCAGAATTACAGCGAGGGACGCTCCCATTGCTAAACCATCAACTTGTACATACCATGAATCATTACACTTGAAATATACTTTGCTGACCGCCATATTCAAAAGCCTTTTCATGGTTGCTCTTTGAATTTCAGGAGGAGACTCCTGGCTGTACAGCTTCTGTAAAGCAATTTCAATTGCCTCCTTCAGGGGAACGTTGGTGTACAAACTTTTCACATCAAGAGATATTATGGTTTCATCCGGATCTAGAGCAATGTTTTCTATTTTTTCTCTAGCCTCTTTAGTATTGGTTTCTATATTTGCTCCATCGATGTTGTCAAAAAACTTCGCAAGCATTTTGTTAAGATTCTCATACGAGCTGCCGGGAAGTGATAGTACAGGTCGTAGGGGTGTCTCATCCTTGTGTACCTTAGCTAAACCGTACAAACGGGCGGGTTGCCCCCCTGTTGATCGTATCTTAGAATATAACTGATCACTTATCTCGTCTCTTTTGTTCATGGCTAGTAACTCTTTGTTAAGTTCTTTCTCAATTTTCAGTATCACCTCATCAGTGGTTGCATCTTTTTTCACAAACTGAGCAGATTGCAACAAGGATTCCAGCTTTGATTCATATGTTTGTTTCCTCATTATGCAAAAACCAACCCCCTTATCAAAAGGCACAGCCAGCAACCCATTATCTTTGAGATATTTCCTCGTTTTTTCAACGGCTTTGTCTCTTGGGGTTTGCCGTACGTTTTTTGCATATGCCTTTGCCGCGGCTTCTATTTCACATAACGTTTCACCAGATGTTTTTTGATTTTTCAATTGTGAGAGGAAAATGTCGATATCCGCCAAAAAATGTGTTTCGTTAAATTTGTCTCTAATTGGATGCTTGGGGCCCATTGATAGCACTTCATATACCCATTCAGGCAGTTCAATATTATCAAGTACCCTAACTGATCGCTCATTTCTCCCCCCAAGAGGTTTATCTTGTCTCTCGGACAGTTTTTCTAACTTTTTTCTATGGTTTTCTGATGTTGTCTTTAAGCTTGCCTCAACTTGCCGCCTCACGAATCGGAAAATGGATGCCCACCACTGTTTGTCAATTTCTTTTTGCACCAGTGATCTTGCTTTCCTTAGCATCTCCTCGTACCTTTTCCTATCCTCATTTGCCCTAGAAGTTTCAGTCCTTAGTAGTTTCAATTGAAAATTATGCACAGCTTGGTCCGAAAAAACCCCGTTCTCGGGGACCCTAAACTTCAAAAAGTCCGGTATTAGATCGTTTTTCAGACATTTTCTCAGAAACTTCAGTCTATGTACAGATACTTGAACTTTTTTAAAGAATTTTAAATAGTCTAACACAATTTTCCAAGTTAGTTTCATTTTCATAATTTCGATTTAGACATGTACGTTTTGAATAAAAAACCAAAAATATTTTGGGACTAAATTTTCAGTGTTAGCAGAGCGGCAGGAAAGACCGTTAATGAAAGTGAATGACAAATCGGTCAGAGCACTAGATGGCATTGAGCTACCCAAGTGGGTTCATGAAGTGTTAGGTTTTGGCCCAAAGCACCCGGTGAGGGATCGTTTCAATGAACTTCACTTTCTTGTGGACATTGATAATTTTTTATCTGAGCTTAAATCGCAAAAGGTACCAGGTGAGAAACTATGTGAAATTGAAGCTGCTGCAAAATCATACGCTAAACGTGTGCGGCAAACACCGTCGGATAGAGGGATTGAGAAAGCCAGGAAGTATTTGAAGGACAATGGTCTCTTGGCAGTCCCATTCAATAAAGGTGTTGGCTTCTGTGTAATGAAGAAAACGACATATGAGGCTAAACTAACTGAGCTGCTGCAATCGGAACAATATAGCAAAAAACCAGGTTTAACTGATAGTGTTGTTATGAAAATTGAGAAAGACATCAACAAAGAACTGTTGGCCATGAAAAAGAAAGATGAGATCGATGAGGCACTGTATAGTAGGCTTAGGTCCACGGGAGGGCAGCCAGCTCGATTAATTGGATTGGCTAAAGTACATAAGAAAGGAACCCCTCTCCGTCCCGTACTGTCACTGCCAGGGAGCTCATATGAACATCTAAATAAAACTTTGGCCAAATTTTTTGACAACATTGAGGGGGCAAACATTGAGACAAACACACAAATGGCTCGGGAGATCATAGAGAACATAGATCCAGACTATAATGAGAGTATTATCTCCCTGGATGTCAAAAGTTTGTACACTAATGTCCCACTAAAGGAGGCAAAAGATATAGCACTGAGGAAACTGTACAAACAAACTAGTCCTCCTAAACTGGCACGCGGAACTATGAAGAAATTGTTGAATATGGCGGTAAGTAAGGTGCACTTCAAATGCAATGGTTTATGGTACGTACAAAAGGATGGGTTGGCAATGGGTGCATCCCTTGCTGTCATTCTTGCCAATTTATGGCTAAAGGAGTACGAATATGCATTAATGAAGGAAGTACCTGCGTTGACACAGCTAAATGAAAACCGGAATGGCCTATGCCCTGATTGCGAGCGGAGGGTAACATACAGAAGTAAGGGGATCGAATGCGAAGCTTGTTCAAATTGGTACCATTTAAAGTGTAGTAATGTATCCGACAAAGAATATGAGCAAAT